GATAGATAGATAGATAGATAGATAGATAGATAGATAGATAGATAGATAGATAGATAGATAGATAGATAGATAGATAGATAGATAGATAGATAGATAGATAGATAGATAGATAGATAGATAGATAGATAGATAGATAGATAGATAGATAGATAGATAGATAGATAGATAGATAGATAGATAGATAGATAGATGGATGGATGGATGGATGGATGGATGGATGGATGGATGGATGGATGGATGGATGGATGGATGGATGGATGGATGGATGGATGGATGGATGGATGGATGGATGGATGGATGGAAGGATGGAGGGAGGGAGGGAGGGAGGGAGGGAGGGACAGACAGACAGACAGACAGACAGACAGACAGACAGACAGACAGACAGACAGACAGACAGACAGATAGATAGATAGATAGATAGATAGATAGATAGATAGATAGATAGATAGATAGATAGATGGATGGAGGGACGGATGGAGGGACGGATGGATGGAGGGACGGATGGAGGGATGGATAAATAGATGGATAGATAGATAGATAGATAGATAGATAGATAGATAGATAGATAGATAGATAGATAGATAGATAGATAGATAGATAGATAGATAGATGGAGAGACGGTTAGATAGATAGATAGATAGATAGATAGATAGATAGATAGATAGATAGATAGATAGATAGATAGATAGATAGATAGATAGATAGATGGATGGATGGATGGATGGATGGATGGATGGATGGATGGATAGGTAGATGGATAGATAGATAGTAGGAAGGATAAATGGATGGATGGATGGATGGATAGACAGACAGACAGACAGACAGACAGACAGACAGACAGACAGACAGACAGACAGACAGACAGACAGACAGACAGATAGATAGATAGATAGATAGATAGATAGATAGATAGTTGTTTTTGCGTTGTTTTATGTCTTATTCTATTTCATGTAGATTAGCTGTTCATTTACCAAAACAATCACTGTAAATAGCTGATCTCAGAGATCAGATTGAGAGGCACTTACTGGTCTAATCAAACATCATGCACTGGAGATTGACTGTATATTGCTGTATATTTTGTATATGTTGTATATTGCTTTGTCTGAGCTAGAGGTGATGTTGTGGTAAACCTGTCATTAGGACACAAGCATCAGGAAATGAGGAAAGACGAGTCTGCTGCTGTTAAGCTGTGTGTCAATGGGAGAAAACAATCCCGGGCGGGACGTCCAGAGGCTCAATGCAGGCGTCCTACTGAGCTGAGAAACACACCGCCCAGGTAATCTCTGTGTGTCTCAGTCTGTCCAAGCACACACACACACACACACACACACACACACACACTCACACACACACACACACACACACACACTGACCCGCTTGACACTATAATGCAGGGATGTCAAACTCAATTCCTGGAGGGCTGCAGCTCTGCACAGTTTAGTTCCAACCCTGCTCCAACACACTTACCTGTAGGTTTCAAACAAGCCTGAAGGACTCAATTAGTTTGATCAGGTGAGTTTAATTAGGGTTGGAACTAAACTGTGCTGAGCTGCGGCCCTTTTGGAACTGAATTTGACACCTGTGCTATAATGACTATGAGCTTTGTGTGCTGCTGCTGTTGTCAGGGTGTTGCAAGATGTTAATATTTTAACAATGCTGTTGTTAGGGTGCTTCAGTTTTGCAGGTCACTTTTATTCGTTCATTCGTTTCAACTCCACACAATTAATTCGTGTCATGCAAAATTGATGTATAATAAAAATGGTTAACAAATTACATTTTGCACATATCTATAATAATTGTATTTTTATGATGCAGAATTGTCGTATAACATGCAAACTCCACACAGAAACGCCAACTGAGCCGAGGCTCGACCCAGCGACCTTCTTGCTGTGAGGCGACAGCACTACCTGCTGCGCCACTGCTTCGCCATACTTATTTGTATATCTTAGAAATTTAACCATTGACTTGTATTTTAAACATATGATTTAGATTTACATATTTAAATTAGAAATTAAATCTGCTTACTGTGCGTTAGAGTAGGCTTTGTGTGTCAGGAAAGCAAGTGATTAAACTATACCTGTCAACATTGGGATATAAAAGTATGGGAGACAACCCCAACAACCGTTACAAATATGGGGACGAAATTAGCTTCAAATGATAGAATACATAACAAACATTAGAAAATTGAAATGGAAATAAAAGGTTTAGCCTATTAATATCAATTTACTGATCACACCAGTGTGATCGTATGATTCAACGGGTTAAAAGCGTGTGATTTTTTTTTAACTGTAATTATTCAGCAATTCCTCTGCCTACCACTAGAAGGAAGCTTGTGTACCACAGTTTGAGAACCACCAGTCTATATGATTTATTTATAATAGAGTTTGTAAAGTAACATCTACTGTTGTTCAGTGGTTATATTGTCTGAGAGACTTGCTTTGTTGACCAGACACTTGGATCTAATTGTATTTGCATTGTAAAACTTAAATAAAAATGGACATGTATTATTATTATTATTATTATTATTATTATTATTTCATGGTTTAGGTGTTTAGTTACTCTCCCAAAATCACTCCACATAAGGTCACTCATAACATGTGCACAGATTCTGTCTGGCCCTGGTTGTAAGCCATCATTTTTTACAGTGCACACTGACTTCAAGTGTACATG